TACACAATTGACTGTTCTGACACTTGGAGAAGGCACAATTCCCTGTTGTCAGGATCAGGAAGCCATTCCAGAGCAATCATGTGCAGCTGATGCTGGAACAAATACATGTAGTACAAGTGTAAGTAGTGCATGGTGTGAAGCTGAAGCCGAGTCAGTGCATGTCAGTGTAGTGCATGTGAATCAGCTAAAAGAGGCTGGAGGAGATGAGCAGCACTGAGATACAAAAAAGGGATGAAAAAATTATGCTCACACTGTGAAATAAATGTCATATTGGTATCTGATGCATATGAAAATATTTGTTGGTAGAAGCAGCTTTTGTGTGATTTTGATGTAGCCGCTTGTATGTTTTTGGGTATATATATATATATATATATATATATATATATATATGATGAAAAAATAGTATTTTATGAAAAAAGTTATCCTGGAGTAGGGTGGTAATTAGGGGCGGACTGACCATTTGGAAACTCGGGCACTGCCCGGGACCCGGGGCCAGTAGGGGGCCCCATGAGATGCCCCTGGTACCTTTTTCATAGGCATTTTTGAGTTTGGGCAAGGACACAGGGGCCCCATGATCCCCTATTGCCCGGGGACCCCATGAGTTGTCAGTCCGCCCCTGGTGGTAATAAGGTGTCCGTGTGGCTTATGTTATATTAGGGAGACAACAAAAAGGCTAAGGAACGCATTGCTAGACCCAGTACTCCATTGATAAGTAACAAATCGATCTACCAGTTGTTGGTCATTTTAATGAACAAATGCATTCTTTTTTACAGCTAAGCTATGCAATGTGCTGGTATTGATAAGAAGAGGAAATAGAGAACAAATACTCTACAGAAAAAAGGTAGAATGGATCCAAAGGCTTGAAACCATACAGGTGAGGACCGTTACTACAGATTATGTTTTTTTTTTTTTCTTTTTGTATTTCTTTTTTATATGATATGATAAAAAATCCTGTTATACATTGTTATCATGATGTGGCAACTTGAATACCAGGTATATAGTTTGTTTGGTTTTAGTTTTTCTACTCAATTCTAGTCACAACTGGTTTTCTGCTACAAGACATACATTATACTTTCTTTTTCCTGGATGTCTTGTGGTCTGATGAAGGGTATGTTTCCCAGAACTATTGCTAAGTGTACTATTTGTTTCCCTGTGAACCTTTTGGTTTCTATATTGACATGCACCAACCAGTCTTAGAGCAATGCTTCTGCTGTGTGTGTGTATAACACACACACACACACACTATACCATTAGGTGACTGCAAGTGTCCCCCCTACAAAAAAAAATAATTGCATCTTAGCTTTGTCAGACCAATGTCCATGCACAGTAGGTGTAGGCAATACTGAAATGTTCTGAACTACATATATTAATTGCTCCTTGAAACAACCACATTGTCTTTTTCCAGAGCAGCTTTCCTTCTGAGGTTACCTGTGGGTTTTTCTTTGTACCCAAAAAAACTCTTCTGGCATTGTGGCTGCCATCTTTCTTGGTCTACCTGACCTTGGCTTGGTATCAAGTGATCCCTGAATTTTCCACTTCTAAATTGTATTCACTTCTTAATAAGTGATTGAACAGTACTGACTGGCATATTCATATCGTTTTATATCCTTTTCCATCTTTATAAAGTTCAATTACCTTGTTATGCAGGTCTTTTGACAGTACTTTTCTGCTCCCCAAGGCTCAGTATCTAGCCTGCTAAGTGCATCCAGGTGAGAGCTAACAAACTCATTGGCTATTTAAACATAGACATAAAAAAGCCACAGATGTGGGACCTTTAATTGCAATTTTAACCGCTAGCCTACAGGGCACTTACACCCCCTTCCTGCCCAGCCCAATTTCCAGTTTTCAGCACTGTCACACTTTGAATAACAATTGTGCGGTCATGCAACACTGTACCCATATGAAATTTTTACAATTTTTTTTGTGACAGATAGAGCTTTATTTTGGTGGTCACCTCTGGGTTTTTTTATTTTTTCTTAAACAAACCAAAAACCACTGGAAATTTTGAAAAAAAAAAAACGTTTTTTCTTAGTTTTTGTTATAAAATTTTGTAAATAAGTGATTTTTCTCCTTCACTGATGTGCGCTAATGAGGCTGCAGTGATAGGCACTGATAGGCTACACTGATGGACACTGATAGGTGGTACTGATGGGCACTGATGAGGAGGCACTGGTAGGTGGCACTGATGGGCATTGACAGGCATCACTGATGGGCATTGACAGGCATCAGTGATGAGCACTGAAAGGCAGCACTGATATATGGCACTGATATATGGCACTGATATATGGCACTGACTGGCACTGATAGCCGGCTCTGACTGGCACTGATAGCCGGCACTGACTGGCACTGTTGGTGGCACTGACGGGCACTGATAGGTGGCACTGATTGGCATTGATAGGTGGCACTGACTGGCACTGATGGGTGACACTGAAAGGCAGCTCAGATGGGCACTGATATGTGGCATTGATGTGCACTGGTAGGCACTGATATGTGGCATTGATGTGCACTGGTACGCACTGGCACGTGGCACTGTTCAGCACTGACAGCTGGCACTGAAGGACACTGACAGGTGGCACTTCTGGGGCCACATTGATCATCAGTGCCCTGATGATCAGTGTACATGTCCCCTCCGCAGAATGCCGGTTACCGGCTCTCCTCTCGAGCTGTCAGCGTGACAGCTCGTGAGGAGAGAAATGCAGACAACCGCCATTTCCCTGTTTACATGTGATCAGCTGTGATTGGACACAGCTGATCACATGACCAAGCTGACATCTTTGGCTCTTTCCGTGGATTGGTGATCCGCTGTCTCCGATGGACACAGCGCACCGCCGATCGCCGCGCTGCGTGCTTCCTGAGCCGTGCATTCGCGGTGAGAATGGGAGGACGTCATATGAAGTCCTCCCAGAACGAGAGAACCACCTTGCGCCCGTCATTGGACTATATGGCGTGTAGGAGGTGGTTGACCAGTTTGTGTCTCCTTGTGTGTCTGTATCAAGGCCAAACATTCCAGGGTATGTAAACCTTTGAACAGGGTCATTTGGGTGATTTCTATTATCATTATGATTTCAAAATGAGCCAAATAACTACAGTATGTGATAATATGAATGGCTTCATATGATCACCATCATTAAATAAAAGAAAGTTGTTGCATAATCAGTTATATTTTTAATATCAATGCCAAAATATCACAATTTCTGCTAGGGTATGCAATCTTTTGAGCACAACTGTATATGATACCCAAACCTCACATTGCCTTTGGATTCCAATGGTCAGGCTGAATTAAATTCATTACTGCATAAAAACTTTAACAGCGTGCTAAAAATAGGAGTTATTGTAAAGCATGTAAAAATGATATTCTTAGTAATAACACCCTGCAACAAAAACTCTCAAAGCACTTGTTGCACAATAAGTAGAAAGGGGAACTTAGTTGCTTGTTTCAGGTGTAAACCTCCTATCAATGACACCCCTGTATCTTCAGAGTGATGAATGTTGTCAATTTTATTGCTGGCAAGAGAAATTATTCTGTGAGCCCTAACTTTGACTAAAATAGAATAACCACTGGACTACCAGGGCAAGTTTTTAAATTTCACACATTGTAAAATCTGCAATTTTTACTAGAAATTACTTTAAACTCCCAAAAGTACAGTATACATTTTCTGAAAGCAGAGACCCTGGAGTATAAAATGGTTGTTATTACAATGATCAGACACGTTTTCAGGAAAAAATACACTAAAATGAATTTTCGTGCAAACACTATACTGTATTCAGTGTTTTGGCATAATATAAAAAATGTTGTGTCGGGTTGTGTCAAGTAAGTAATACCAAACATGTCAAGCCAGCCTTAAAATTGTGCATGCCGGTTTAATCGCAAAACACTATGATACCTGAAAAACCTCCATAGGCAATGCTTTAAAGGCCCGCATGATTGCCAATGTAGATTTACAGGAAAACATTCCCAGCATACAGAGCATGTCATTTGTGCACTTTGTTACTGGAATATGAGTCATTCCGCAGCATACCTGCACAGTTTACAGTGCCTTGAAAAAGTATTCATACCCCTTGAAATTTCCACATTTTGTCATGTTACAAGCAAAAATGTAAATGTATTTGATTTGGATTTTTTTGTGATAGATCAACACAAAGTGGCACACGATTGTGAATTGGAAGGAAAATGATAAATACTTTTTAAAATTTTTGACAAATAAAATATCTGAAAAGTATGGCGTGAATTTCTATTCAGCCCCCTTTACTCTGATACCCCTAACTAAAATCTAGTGGAAACAATTGCCTTCAGAAATCACTTAATTAGTATACATAGTCCATCTGTGTGTAATTAAATCTCAGTATAAATACAGCTGTTCTGTGAAGCCCTCAGAGGTTTTTAGAGAACATTAGTGAACAAACAGCATCATGAAGGCCAATGAACACACCAGACAGGCCAGGGATAAAGTTGTGGAGAAGTTTAACCAAAAGCCTACAGGGCACTTATACCCCTTTCCTGCCAGGCCAATTTCCAGCTTTCAGCGCTGTTGCACTTTGAATGACAATTGCGCGGTCATGCAACACTGTACCCATATGAAATTTTTATAATTTTTTTGTGACAGATAGAGCTTTATTTTGGTGGTATTTAATCATCTCTGGGTTTTTTATTTTTTCTTAAACAAACCAAAAACCACTGAAAATTTTGAAAAACAAAACGTTTTTTCTTAGTTTTTGTTATAAAATTTTGTAAATAAGTGATTTTTCTCCTTCACTGATGTGCGCTAATGAGGCTGCAGTGATGGGCACTGATAGGCTGCACTGGTGGACACTGATAGGTGGCACTGATGGGCACTGATGAGGAGGCACTGGTAGGTGGCACTGATAGGCATTGACAGGCATCACTGATGGGCATTGAAAGGCAGCACTGATATATGGCACTGATAGGCGGCACTTACTGGCACTGTTAGGTGGCACTGACTGGCACTGTTAGGCAGCACTGGCGGGCACTGATAGGCGGCACTGATGTGCACTGATAGGTGGCACTGACTGGCACTGATAGGCGGCACTGACTGGCACTGATAGGTGGTACTTATTGGCATTGACTGGCAATGATGGGTGACACTGAAAGGCAGCTCAGATGGGCACTGATATGTGGCATTGATGTGCACTGATGGCCACTGGCAGGTGGCATGGATGAGCACTGACAGCTGGCACTGATGGACACTGACAGGTGGCACTTCTGGGGCTACACTGATCATCAGGGCACACTGATCATCAGTGCTCTGATGATCAGTGTAGATGTCCCCTCCACGGAATGTCGATTACCGGCTCTCCTCTCCTCTCGAGCTGTCAGCGTGACAGCTCAAGAGGAGAGAAATGCCGATAACCGGCATTTACCTGTTTACATGTGATCAGCTGTGATTGGACACAGCTGATCACATGACCGAGCCGACATCTTTGGCTCTTTTCGTGGATCGGTGATCCACTGTGTCCGTGGGACACAGCACACTGCCGATCGCAGAGCTGCACACTCCGGGAGCTGTGCATGTGCGATGAGAATGGGAAGACGTCATATGACGTCCTCCCAGAACGAGAGAACCACCTTGCGTCCGTCATATTACTATATGGCGGGGGGGGGGAGGTGGTTAAAGCAGGGTTAGGGTATAAAAAAATATCCCAAGCTTTGAACATCTCACAGAGCATGTTCAATCCATAATCCGAAAATGGAGGGTATGGCACAACTGCAAAGCTACCAAGACATGGCCATCCAAGTTGGCAGGCTGGGCAAGGAGAGCATTAATCAGAGAAGCAGCCAAGAGGCCCATGGTAACTCTGGAAGAGCTGCAGAGATCTATAGCTCAGGTGGGAGAATCTGTCCACAGGACAACTATTATTCGTGCACTCCACAAATCTGGCCTTTATGGAAGAGTGTGAAGAAAAAAGCCATTGTTGAAAGAAAACCATACAAAGTCCCGTTTGCAGTTTACGAGAAGCCATGTGGAGGACACAGCAAACATGTGGAAGAAGGTGCTCTGGTCAGATGAGACCAAAATTTAACTTTTTGGCCTAAAAGCAAAATGTATGTGTGCTGGAAAATGAACACTGCACATCACCCTGAACACACAATCCACACTGTGAAACATGGTGGTGGCAGCATTATGTTGTGGGGATGCTTTTCTTCAGCAGGGACAGGGAAGCTGGTCAGAGTTGATGGGAAGATGGATGGAGCCAAATACAGGGAAATCTTTGAAGAAAACTTGTTAGAGTCTGCACAGCAATTGAAATTCGGGTGGATGTTCACCTTCCAGCAGGACAACGACCCTAAGCATACAGCCATGGCTACAATGGAATGGTTTAGATCAAAGCATATTCATGTGTTAGAATGGCCCAGTCAAAGTGCAGACCTAAATCCAATTGAGAATCTGTGGCAAGACTTGAAAATTGTTGTAGAGACATTTCCAAAAAGACTTGCAGCTGTAATTGCAGTGAAAGGTGGTTCTACAAAGTATTGACTCCGGGGCTAAATACAAATGCTGCCACACTTTTCACATATTTATTTGTAAAACATTCTGAAAACCATTTATCATTTTCCTTCCACTTCACAATCATGTCTCACTTTGTGTTGGTCTATGCTGGCAAGCAGGGGGGAGAGATCTGCCACTGGAACCACTGAGGTGACCTCACTGGAGGGAGAAGCAGGTACCTGTTTGAACCGGGTACCTGCTCCCTCCTCCAAAAATCTGACAAAAAGTTGAAGACAAGGGGGGGAGGGCATGAAGCTGAACTAAGGTGAAGTTCCGCTTTAATAGTGTTGATTTATGTTGATAGTGTTGATTCATTGAGGTTGTGAACTGCATAAAAATATATAAATACTACTGCCACGCAAATTTCTAACTTTATTGTGAACCATGGCTGGATCTAGGGGGGTGCTGGGGTGGACTGTGCCCCCCCAGATATCAGTTGTGCCCCCCCTTTGGCCGGCTGAGTTTCTTCCCCATCCCAACACTGGAATGTGCAGCCGGGTGCAGTGACGTGTGATTAGTGAAGCTCAGACAGCGGCAGCGGTAGACAGGAGAGAGGTTGTGTTGTGTCCTCCCCCCTCCTGTCAGTGCAGCACTGCACACAGCACATCACACAGCACTCTACCTCCTCCAAGGACTGCTCATGTCCCGGCAGGAGGAAATGTGTATAGGGCGGGTAATGAAACCGTGTGCCGTCCAAACTAGCGCTCCTATGTGATGTGCTGTGTGGAGGAGCGCTACACTGACAGCATAGCCTCTCTCCTGTCTCCTGTGGGGAGGGGGGGGACTTACAGGCGGAGAACATAATATGAGGGGTTGAGGGGGTGTAACTTGTGCTTGTAATTTGTGTTTGGAATGAGAGGTAGAGGGATTGGTGACTATTTGTGTTGGGGAGGGTAACTGGGGGGGGGGGGGGTAATTTGCTAAAAGGGGGGATTGGGGTGGAAGGATATGTGCCATCAGGTGGAATGAGGGGGATACGTGCAGGGGGAAATTGTGGGGGAGGAAATATGCTAGGACTAGGAGGGGGTATTGGGGCATACTGTTGTTTTAGGAGGAGGTGGGCATATTAGGATGTGGGATTGGGGGGATGTGTGCTAGGTGGGGGATTGGGGAGGGGGAATATGCTAGGAATAGGAGGGAGGATTGGGGGAGATATGTGTTCGGAAGGGGGGATATATGTTAGGAGGGGGGGAATGTATTAGAAGGGGGTTTTGGGGGGGGATATGTGCTAGGTGGGGGAATGGGGAGCGGGAATATGCTAGGACTAGGACGGGGGATTGGGGGAGATATGTGTTAGGAGAGGGGGGAACGTATTAGGAGGGGCGATTGGGGGTGATATGTGCTAGGTGGGGGATTGGGGATCGGGAATATGCTAGGACTAAGAGTGGGAATTGGGGGGAAATGTGTTTGGGGGAGGATGTATTAGGAGGGGGGATTGAGAGGGATATGTGCCAGGTGGGGGGATTGGGAAGGAATATGTGCAAGGAGGGAGTTTTTTCTGGATATGTGCTAGGAGGGGGGATTGGGGTGGAGGTATTTGGGCTGGGGGGGAGTTTTGTTCAAGGGGGGATTTGTGCTAGGAGGGGGGGTGTGGGGAAATTTGGGTTAGGATGGGGAATTTTGGGGGGACTTGGGTGGGGAAGGTGGATTTGTACTGGGAAGAGTAATTTGGAGGGTGTTGTGCTAGGAGGGGGAATGGGATGTGATTATGCTAGGAGGGGGGATTTGGGAGATAGGATTTGTGCTGGGAGGGGGAATTGTCAGGGAGGATTTCTACTAAGATGGGAAATTTGACAATAGTATGACGTGTGCTAGGAGGGCGGGTTTTTTGGGGTGGTTAGACATGAAATGAGGGCACTCAACAGATCTTCTCCTTCCCTCATAGCACATAGCTGATATTTGCTTGAATTTCCTTAGAGACACAGCCTCAATCTGTAGCCAGCTACACACTGTGCACATGAATGCTGTGTCTGTAAAGGAATCCAATCTATGTGCTGTGGTGTAGAGGATCTCTGAGTACCCAGGCTGTTTGCAGTGTGGGGAAGGGAGGAGGAGATCTACTGAGTGCTCTGCCAGCGGTGACCCTCTCCTCTTCTCTGTTGACCATTGTCTTCTGCCCTGCTGACCCCTTTACACTGCCCTGTTGACCCCTGTCCTCTGCACTGCTGACCCCTGCCCTCTGCACCGCTGACCCATGTCCTCCATCCTGTTGACCTGTTGATCCTGTTTTCTCCACCCCACTGATCCCTGTCATATGCTCTGTTCACCATTGTCGTCTACACTGCTGACCCACTGTACACTACCCTACTGACTCTTGTACACTGTCCAGCTGCACACTGTCCTTTCCTCTGATAACCCCATGTACACTGTCCTACAAACTAACGGCTTCTGTAGACTGCCCTATAAACTGCTTATCCTATCCTCTGCCCTGCTGACCCCCTGTATACTACCCTACTGACCTCACATCCTCTGCCCCCCTGGCATTTTTTACTGCACCCCCACATCAGACAGGGTAGATCCGGCCTTGTCGCCAACCATACATGGGTCGAAATTCAACCAGTTCATCAGGCACCAGCTGAATTTTGATCCTTATATGGCCACAATGGTTTTACAGTAGTACATCTACTGATCAACATCTGCGAGCAGCCTGTCAAATAAATGCTGCTTTATCAGTGCCCCAGGCTATAGCCAGCAGCACTGATCAGTGTATTCTGACAGTGGGGGAGTCTCCTTGCTGTCAGAGCACAGTAGCTCAGCAGGAATTATTCCTCCATTCACCTCGAATGTGTGGATGGAGGAATCGGGTCAGTTTTTTCTGTTCAACCCACTGGTTGTGCAAAAGAAGCTGAAAAATCAATGGGGTGCTTTAGTTTTTTTATTTTTTCCACGATTACTGTGGGTTGATAATATGGACTGCTGGTGCTGTGACTTTTATAGCATCCATCTATCTTTGCATTTCTCCAGCCCTGTAAATTTCTGTTGCAGGCACATGATTTTACTATCTCGCTAGCATTTTTGCATAAAGAAGCATATGACGCAAAAACAAATAATGAATTAGCAACATTTAACCTTTCAATGTCAACTAAATGCCTGCTTTTGCAATGACATGTAGCTGTTAATACACTTACCTGGTATTCTATTCAGTGTCACCCAGTAGTGTTCATCGGGGCTGTAAGTGTCCTTAGACCATTTCAATAGGTCTATAGCCCTCTGGTCTTCCATCATGAACTTAGTAAACTCCCTTGTCAGTGCAACATACGCTGTGCCAAAGTAAATGGTGATATTGTGTGGCGGAGGAGGCTTTAAGGTCTTGGTCCCTTTTATTTTGGAATGTACAATATCCTCACGGTGAACGTATTTAGTCCGGGGGATGGCATGACCAGGGGGCAGCACACCAGGAGTGATATTTTTCCCTTTAAAGTTTTTTAAATGTTGTATGATCTCCTTATTTGTCTTTAAAGGGAAATCCTGTCCACACGTATTGATGACATATTTCCATTGCACTTTTGATTTCAGCAGATCTTTTATGCAGTTCACATCCGCCTGGAGCCTCGATATCCCAGCATACACCACAGGCTCCATTTTCGAGGCAAGAAAAGCATTAGGAAAGCAATCCACTAAATCACTTACCACCTGCAAGTAATCCGCACTTGCCTTCTCATCCACATGGATGCAGTATATGTTCTGCGGCATATAGATGGCCCTGAACAGTCTCTCGAACGTGTCAAATTCTTTATGCAATACAATTATATAAGCTAAAGGAAAATCTGCTTCTTCCTCCGACAGAGGAGCTGTGATGAAATGGTTTTGTGTTTTGTACCCATCCGCGCATTTCATTTTTCTAATAGACGTTGGTAAAGAATTCCCCCACATGAAAGCTTTTCCCTTTGTGGCCAATGTGTCACAGGTGACCTCCAATGCAGAGACATCATGGGAAAACTGGATTCTTTGTGAGCTGTGCTGCTCATTCAATTGATTAGGATTGTAGAGGAACAAAAGCACAAGTCCCGTAGCAAACACACAGAGGAAAAATTGCATAGGCAGAATCAACTTCCACACATTGACATAAAGCTTACCATAGCTCTTCATATTGCTCTAGCCGTGGGTTCCAGGTGTCATTGCCTTTTTTTCCCTTGCTGTATGGGAAGGATGTTTGTCAGGATTTTCTACTGTCTGTTTCCTCTGCAAGCTCTACGTTAACATTGTTCTGCCTTGTAGGGCAGGCTAATCACATATGAATACAGCAGTCCTGTGATTGGATCATCAAAAATCATTGACAGACCGATACTTTCCTCCTTTAGTGATGCAATAAGATCAGATTTCACACTAAAGCCAAATTGTTGGCTTGGTCCTCGGAGCTCAGAAAATAATTACATTTTAGCTGATAAATCTGTCCTGCAAACGTTGATCATTTAGTCTAAAAGCAAATATTAATAGGAGGAATAATAATTACATTTTAGGTATGAGCTTATCAAACCTGGCAGAAAACAATAGGCAGGTATGTTCAAATATTGCCCTTTGTAAACATGGTGTACTAAATTACTGATAAGCCCAAGACTGATCCAAGTATTGCCAGGGTGGGGTGTACAGTTCCCAGCAAGAAAACAAATTATGATCACAGCACCAAAATACGTTAGCTCAAATGGACATCAACATATTAGAGTGCATTTGGATAGATTGTCAGATGTGGAGCCAAAGTGCTGACATTTTACCACCAGACACAATATTATCATATAATAATATAGTATATTAATATATAATATACAGGCATACCTCAGTTTACGAACGCATAGGTTAATGTCATTTTCAGTTTACGAATGAAAATCCATTGAAAATAATGCCTTGGTTTACTAATTGTTTTTGCAATATGAACGGATTAATTGGTTTTCAATGCATTTACAAATACATTTTTAATCATGTCCCTGTACAGTATTTATGCCTTTAATGTGCACTTTATAAAGAGTTTTGAACAAATAAAATACTTTTTTTTACTTTTTTCTGACCTCCGGAATGGATTAATTGGTTTTCAATGCATTCCTATGGGAAACCGCGTTTCGGTTTACAAATTTTTCGTAATACGAAAAGTCTCACAGAACAAATTAAATTCATAAATCGAGGTAAGCCTGTAAGTAGATTCTTAGTAGTTTATGTTAAAGAGGAACTTCACTGTAGAAAAAAAATAAACAAATACAAGTCAGCAGCTACAAATACTGTAGCTGCTGACTTTTAATAAACATGCACTTACCAATCCAGAGATCCAGTGCTGTCTTCACTTTTCATCTTTTTACCAGTTTCCAGATCCTTGGCCCCACCATCTTAGATGTGGGAAGCCAGCTGTCACTTCTTGTTGCTTCACAGCCAGTTTCCTACTGTGCATGTGCAGGAAGCTCTGTACTTTTTCAGTGGAACCGTAGGAGGTTGCGAGTGCCGTGGCGGTAGAACTTCCACTTGGATCACCAATACAGGCAGTGAAGGGTGAGGGAGCGGAACTTTTTTTAGGTGAAGTTCCACTTTAAGGACCATGGGTGTGCTATGAGATCGAGATACATAACAGAATAGGTAGTAATAGATTAACCCTTTCGCTGCAGTTTTTGAATTTTTTTGCACACGTTTAAAAAATCATTTTAGGCCCTCAGAATACACAAAAACCCCAAACATAATATATTTTCTGAAAGCAGACACCCTGGAAAATAAAATAGAGGTAGTTCCAATTTTTTATGTCACACAATATTACTGCAAAGGTCTAACATAAGCAAAATTTCAGTAAAAAAACATACTAAAGTGAAATTTAGGGCAAACAAACACAATAAAGTACCCACATTTTTGGCAAAATATAAAAGATGAGGTTGCACCAAGTAAATAGATACCCAGCACGCCAAACCTTAAATTTGCGTGCGCCTATGAAATTGTGTCAAACTTCAGTACCCTATATTTTCTATAGGCAACATATCAAAAGCCCCTATAGGTCATCAGTTTAGCGTTACGGAGGTGGTTTTGTGCTTGAATTATTGCTCTCACTGCGGCGTGTGCGGCGATATGTATATCACAATACACGTTTTTACAAACAGCCGCCAAGACGTGTGCGTTTACGTTCGTATGTGCATATATGTGGGGGGGGGGGGGGGTTCAACATTTTTTTTGTTGGGGAAGTTATGTGCTTGGGTGTAACTTTATTTTTTGTATTAAAGAAAAATGTTTTAACTTTTTTCATCCCATAGGGGACACAAAGTCCCCTATATGATGATTTTTAGGTGACAGGTTCTCTTTATTGAGACATGCAGGGTCTAAAAGACCCTGCATGTCTCCTCTGGGCTCCACTGGATGTATTGCAAAGCAAATTATAATACATTCCTCCCCAGCTATTCTAACCGGGGAAAGTGAAAGCCGTGACCCGGAAGTGACATTATGCACGTCGCATTCCGGGTTACAGAAAGGGGAGGACATTTGACATTCTTCCGTTCCCCTCTCTCCCCTCTACCTGCTGGCACCCGCCATGGCACTCCCTGGACCTGTAGATGGGCAAGCGAGGTGTGGGAGTGTGCGCGCATGGAGGGGGGTATTGGTATGGGGGCTGTGAAAGCAATCAGGCGACAGCACACCTGCCGCACTGCTTCCACCTCAAAGACAGGAGTCTGCCTGTCAGTTTTGTAGCCACCGGATTGTGTATAAAACCAAATCAATAAAAAATTTAAAGAGAGGTTAAAAATAGGCTAGGTATCCGCTACACTATATTTGTGCGGTCCAGTAACCAAACATACCTAATAACTAAAGAAGACACGTGAACAGCATGTTCACCAAAGCGGTTACATGAAAGGACCATTACACATTAAGTTTATGAAACAATACAACTTTATTGTGAGTCAGAATATAAATTCATAAAATTGCCAATCATTCCACAAAATAGAGAAATTAAACACCAATATCCATCACCTCACCCCAGACAACGTTGTGTGTAACACCATTAAAATATGTGCATGACGGGTGGTGTGTCCAAGATGGCGAACGGAGTGGCTGCTTAGGAGAGAGCTCTGTCACCTCCGTACAGCATCCGTCTCCATTCTGGGGGATCCTGCCAACACCGGGGATCCCTGTGGTCCTGTTCCGCTGCCTGGAGAAAGTAATCGGGTCGGTTTGACCCCCATCCGTGGAGCTGGAGGTTTGCAGCCTACCACAGCCTCTGTGAGGACCAGACCCGACCTCAGTATCACATCTGGGTGCTGAAGAACCTCCTTCACTCCTTACTGCCTCGAGCCACCTTTTCCAGCTTCTTTGTGGTTGAGAAAGCCCATCGAATGCCAGTAGCCAGGGGCCCACCTGGTTTGCCGCCCCGCACGTTTAAGCTGCTTAACTACTGTGAACAAGATTTTTGTTTTTGTTTTTTAGGCGTTTTTTGGGTTTTTTCCTCTGTTGCAAGGTGCATCTGACTTTTTATGTGCTTCGGTCTGTGCGTGGTATCCAACTAATATACTGATCCTTCTGTTGTCTGTTATACAGCTCTATGTTTTTCTTCCTGTGGTTCAGCCTGGTTACAAATTAGTTCTCCAATATTTATTTTATGACCTCTCCTGGAACATGCGGGGCCTCAACTCTCCTAGTAAGCGCTCCTTGGTCTTTCAATTTCTCAAATCTTATGCTCCACATATTTGTATTTTGCAAGAATTCGATTTAATGGGCCATAGAATACTGGGCCTCAAGAGAGCTTGGGTTGGTCATTATTGTAATGTTACCTACTCTTCTTATGCTCGAGGGGTTAGTGTCCTTATACACAAATCGTTGCCGTTCACTCTGCTTAATCTCCGGCTGAATCCCGAGGGTAAATACGTTATGATTCATGCAATGCTTAACTGCTTTCAAATGGTAATTGTTGGGCTCTATTTTCCGCCTCCACACGCTCGTTGGCTGCCTTGGACCCGCACCTGGCATCCTATCCCAAATCCCGTGTTCTTCTTGCTGGTTATTTTAATCTTACTCTGGACCCTAGTATGGATAAATTGTCTCCTGACACCTGCGGGAAGTCGGAGTTGTCCAGGTGGGTGGAGCTTTACCAGTTCACGGATGTATGGAGGTGGAAAAATTCTGGGATCAGGGCATATACTTGTCACTCAGCATCACATAGAACTATGTCTAGAATTGACCTTTGTTATGTTACACCTGCACTTTTAGTGAGGGTTCGGGAGATTCTAATGTAGAACCCCCTATAGGGGAGGCGTTGGAGCATTATTGGAACTCTAATGAGAATACTGCTGCACCTACTGCTACCTGGGAGGCTTGTAAGGCTACTCTTAGGGGTTAGTATCGGACCCTGATAGGGGGGCTGCAGATTAGACGGCAGGCAGAAGTGGACTTCGTGGACTGGATGGTGCAGGAAGCTGAATTCAGTTATGTGCTCAATCCAGGTCCTGTTAGTCACCACGACTTACAACTGGCTATTAGTGACGCACTGCGGCCTCCAGGAAGGCTATGCTGCATCAAAAACAATGCATTTTTGAACAGGGTGATAAAGTGGGCCGCCTACTGGCTTGGTTGGCTAGGGAACAATCTGTCCTATCTAATATTGCCCTGATACATGCCAAAGACGGTTCCAGGATCCTCAATCCACTCTCCATCAACCGGTGTTTTGACGACTATTATGCAAGTTTGTATTCCTCCAGAGCTGCCTTCCTGCCACAGGATTTGTCCCATTATCTGGCTTGGTTGGCTAGGGAACAAGTTCCTACTGGCTTGGTTGGCTAGGGAACAATCTGTCCTATCTAATATTGCCCTGATATATGCCAAAGACGGTTCCAGGATCCTCGATCTACTCTCCATCAACCGGCGTTTTGACGACTATTATGCAA